TGGAAGACATGGCATTACAGCGAAGCATGAGTGAAAGACACACACACACACACACACACAACACAAACACACAAGCTCTCACGTAAGCCAAAGAATTGTTCCCATGTGCCACAGAGCTCTGTGACTGGAGAGGGGTGCGTGAGAGCAGCAAATGATTTGTAAAGTTTAGACTAATATGACCAAAGGGCTCAGTGACACAGATGTGGAAGAACCAGAGGAAAGAGAAACTGAAACAACTGTGAAATTAGTCACGCTATATGGAACAACACTGATTTCTCTTCCCAGCTCTTAGTGAGGAATGTTTCCCTTTGTCTATGGATTGAGGTGATTCCTCAGCTGGTCACACCAAATTACTCACCAACAATTTTTATAAATGTATTAAGTCAATTAAGTCAATCACTTGTTGCGGCCGTTAGTCCAAATGATGAAATATGTGTATTATGAATCAATTAAAGAAAGTATTGCATAAAATATATGTTTCTATATTTTCACATAATAAACATATCCCATCACAGAGGTTGTAGCCGTGAAGCTCTCAGCCTCGACCTCCACTTCTCCTGCCAGGTTCGACCCTGATTTATTTCATCCTTATTTCAATCTTTAAACTTTATTTCCACTAATGTTATTGCGCTGTGGCATGTCTTGTGTTTGTTAGCATCACTGGACGTGTCAGACGTTGCAGGTGCTCTGGTTACAACCCAGACGTGTTGCCTCACATCCCTAAAATAGTGCCAGCTGTGTCCACCTGTTCTCTCATCATTTTAGCGAACACAACGACGACTCGCAGAGGTTCTTTAAACAGGCTGTCAGTGGCGTTTCTCCGCACCCTCAGCCACTTCATCATCTCTCCTCTAATTGGCTCAGGGGAGATATAAATAGCCACATGCATCCATCACGAGACTACTTGCTGCACTCACAAGGTTAATGCAGCCTCAAGGGACCCCCGGGTCATAGTGTTGCCTTTTTCCTGGAAGCCACGTCGCAACAAACAAACTGACAGTTGAGATAATCTTTTGTCTTGTTGTCATTTATTAGTTTGTTGTTGTTTCAGTAACAGGGGGGTTGCCTTAATTACACAATCATGAGACAGAAGCAAGTCAAAACATTTATTTCACTTAGAAAACTCTAAATCACTCTACTGAAAGCAAATGTGTGACAGAAACATCTCGCTTCTTAACTCTTAATGTAAATTAAAATCAATAGTCTAGCCTGTCATATTTTTGAACAGTGTATTCCTGTGGGAGCAGCAGTAGTGTTTGACCCAGCTGGCCCCACAGACATCTATAAAGCCACAATGACGCAAAAGCTGGGGCCACTTCATTTGCATTAAAAGAGGAAATATTTAACCCTACATGGTCATAACGAGTGTCAGACAACTCTGCAGAGATCGGGTTCAGAATGAATGAGCTCTATGTGATCTCTTGCTTCTTCGTTTCCTTAAATCGGCTGCTCTGTGCCAAGAGTGTGAACTCCTAAAAACATTACACACAGACAGCAGGAGCTGCCCTCGTCTTAGGCCGTCTTTGACACCTGTCATAGCTCTGGTCGAACTTTCCACTTGAGTTCAGGTGAAGATATTTTAAGTCGTTTAATGTTTTAACATACTGTGCAAATCCCTTGTCTGTCATATATATAGTATACTACAGCGTTGTACTTATAGTATTATTTCTCAAGTGTGTAGAAGACCCAACAGGGAATTTGCAAGCCTTCAACCAGTTACCCGTAATCTCCTGAGCTAAGCATTTTCCTTCTCCCCAAAATATCCCAAATTTTTTCCTTGTGCGACACAGTGGAATGATTCAGAGGTGTCATTTACTTTGCTCCATTTTTAGCTATATGGATAACTCGGCCGTGGATAACTCGGCCAGCATGCCTCACTGAAAGAGCGACAGGGGAGGCCTCTCATCCCATGTGATAGTCCGTCTTTCTTTCGTCACATTTCATCAAATCACATCTCTCGCTTTTACTAGGTTATGTCACAAGCAAGAGGGGGAGAGGGAACTAGGACAGACAGAGTAGACGGCGTAGGACAGAGAGGTGGAGGAAATTAGGCAAGTCAAGTTCATTTGTGTCACACATTTCAACAGCAAAGCCATTCAAAGGGCGTTAGATTAGGTTTTAATAATTTCTTTCTAAAGGTCATTATAGTCCAAAAATTTTAGAAGAAGGAACCTGACATGATTGATTTGTCAAACGTGTTTGGTTTTGTCCTGTTAGGCTGTAACACATGTGATCACTTTGCAAGACTTGCCTTGTTGTGTTTTTAGAAATGGAAATTGTGGCAGTACAAAAGGACTAATTGCAGAATATTGTGTTTCTTGGTTCCATAGACCCTCCTGTCTTACCACACAAATACGGAAAATAACACAACATTCCTGGAAACATTGCTTCACAAAGATTTATTTGCCTTCTCACCCTGGCTGTACACGGTGTCCCAAATATTAAATAAACCAACTTAATAATGCAGCAAGAAAAAAAGCTTAATGACTTAGTGTTCACATCCTTTCCAGTTAATGTTTGTGGAAAGTCGCTGCAAAAAAAGGCCAAGTTGATGGTTTAAATGTTGTTTTTTCCATTAAACAGGTTTCAAAACTATTAATTGTGTCCTGGATAGAATCAAAAGATGGTGGGGGGCATATAGAAAAGCACCACGGATATGTTACAGCTGTGAACAAATGATTTTTGTAAAGTATCAAGTTGATATTTAAAAATAAATTGACAGTTGTTGATTGACAGATAATTTTTGATATATTCCTGCTGAAAATATCAAACTGCTTTGTGGATATATTAGAGTCATGTGTATAAAATATTTAGTTGCGCATTTGAAAGTTATGGCAAATTTTGTGACACTCACTAAACTGAGTTTAAGATACAATGACAATTGACATAGAACTTTTTGTGTTCTTGACGAGGAAAACAAATAATTCACTATTTTTCTCTTTCATGCTTGATGTTGAAAAACTGACAAAAGAAAATCATGTTACATAATAAACGCTCCTCTATCTTTAAGGTCAGAGTATTGCAGTTTTTACTTGATGCATTGAATAGTGTTTGAGTCGGGGGGGAGAATTCATTTTTGTTGATGTTACCGTGATGAAGACACTGTTAAAACAATGACATGATCACTGTTGGGAGGAAGTGTGTCTGAGTCTGTGTTGTGTTTGTATCCACACATGCAAAAAATGAGCACTATGTTTTGCTGTGTGTATTTTGGTGTGTGTTTGTGCGTGTGCCTTATGTCACATCAGGACAGTCCTGTCAGATTAAGTGTGGGCTGCGGTGCTGAGTCGGTGTCACACAGTGTTCCCGTCTCAGCACATTAGAGCCAAACCTCTGTGATGATGCAGAAAACAGCCACATCAAAGAGAATGAACAGTAACAGAGTACAGATGTATTAGAACACACTATAATATCATTTGATTTTATATTTCCCTTCCCAGCTCTGTCCCGGAGTTTAAGTTCAATGATTTTTTCTTTTCATCCCACAGCACAGGCCCGAGTCTGCTAACCGTAAGTTTCATAGAGTTTTCATTTAGATTGTGGTTAAGTCGCATTTGATCAGAACCACCACGTCGGACTCATGTAGTTTTCGTGTATTTGTCAAACTTGATACCGCGAATCAGATTCTTAAAGCACTCTATCCAACAAACGTCTGCATGTCTGTATGTGGAAAACACATCTCTTGAACCCTTCACCTTACTTGCTTCATACCTGGCATGTGCTTTGTTAGCAGCCCTGGGAAGTGCTTAGTCAAGTTTGGTGCGATTCGAACTAGCCACCAGGTTTTATTTCACAATTTTAGACTGACACAGATGGATGAACCACGACTGGGGCTCATCTCACTGTTTATAAAAAGCTCTGCACACAAACATTAACCAGCGACAGCATTTTGTAGTTTTGAGGAGGACTCACTAAAAGAGTTCATCATGAATTAACATCAACGCAGTTGTCATAAACACAAATCATGTCTTTTCACTTTGAGACCATCAAACTAAAAGGAAAACTCACACTGGTCATGTGGTGCATCCAGACTTGAGAGGATGAGGCCACCACCATGCGGCCCAGCCAGGTCTCTTTGTTCAGAAAGGAGCGAGTCAGTTGAGCTGGCTTCCTGTTCAGCTTCAATCGGTGGAGCCACAGGAGGAAGTAGGAGGGCCCAGAGGTTCTGTTTTCACTCCTGTCTGTTGGTTTGTTTATTTGTCAGCAGGATTATTGAAAATTCCTAAAAGGATTTCAAGGAAACTTTGTTGAAGGGTCATGGGCCAAAACAAAACCCATTATGTTCGGCACAGATCCAGAATTTATTAAATCAATTTCTTTAACATTGCAAGATAGGACATTTTTTGACATTTTCCCAGGAAATAATCAGGTTGGCTTTAGGACCTTGAAACATATCAAACTGTCTTAAATACAGATCTGATGGTTCTTAATTCTTTTTGGCTTATCACCACCAAACAGTGCCAAAAACTACTAATGCCTCTCTGGCCTGTGTGACAGCGGAACACTGATGTCGATTTGCATCGTGTCAGTTGTCTTCTAAACTTTGGACAATGGGGATCAAGGTGATGGAGTCTAACATACATTAATGTGTTTACATGGAACAAGAAAATGTTCACTTTTTGTATTTATTTCCATTGTAAGTTTGGTCTGTGTGTTATTACATTTTAAAGTCTATGTTGTTTGCAGCAGTAGACACCCTGGTAATTTATGGATCTTGGTGAAAATCCAGATCTAGCTGTTTTCAATATGGTTTCATCAGGGGACTGTCTGACCTTGGGGGGTGTTATATCCTCTACTGAGTGCCATTCTATTTGATAGTGTTTTACTCACTAGAGGCTTTTTTCAGCCCAGGACCCAGGTGCTTTTGGACACAGCGTAATGAAGCATGACTAACATGTGGGAACCAACCGGACGAACCAATTCTTCATTCACACCCATAAGTAAAGCCAACTAGTCTACGAAGGGGGAAATGAGCAGAAACAGATGAAATATATTCATGCTTTGCTTTTAATCACTTCATAGAAAAAGTATTTCAGATTTATTTTTGAACACAATATACAATATAATACCATACATTGTGTGAAACATTTAATAATCCACCGGCAATAACTGGTGGACTTGAACATATTATTGACAATTAAAAAACCCCACCTCTCATGCAGATAGTGCTAAATCTGGCTAACCATTTGGACACAACTAGGACCAGAAAAAAAAGCTTGAACATAGATAAACAATGTTAATACTGACAAATTTTGAATTTCAAAACTGCTAACAAGTTTGGTCAGAAAGAGTTCACACATTAGCACAATCAGTTACATAAGATCGTGTTTTGTTGTTAATTCAGAACGAGTCACGTCTGTGCTGGGCGTATTGTAGCATGCTACCAATACCGTCCCCGTCTTATCTACCTTTACATGAAGTGTGTCGAGTGTGAAAGGAGACAATCGCTTCGTGTTTGTCAGTCGAATCTGTGTCATGCCTCATATCAGCGATCTGCGTTCAAATGCTGGATGAAGAAGCGAAGGCTGTGTGGAGCCGCTGAGAGATAATCAGCCATTTCTACACTTTGATACCGAGCACTGACTAAGCTTCTGTGTTCCTTAGCTAGCTTTTATGTGTCCTATATCCAAGCCTATGCAGTTTAACATGTCCTCTATGTTGCCTCTGGGTTACCAAGATGCTGCCATCACATGAAAACCTGTCAACTGTGTTGATCTCAAATAGTTTGCAAATATTAAATTAAAGACATTTGAATAAATGAAACTTAGAGAGAAACTTACATTTTCTGATAAAGATTTAAAAAAAGATTTTAAAACAACGTAAAAGTAAGAATCTTTTTGGTTTAATATTCATGGATAATAATAATATGATGTTATTCCGTCTGTGACGTTACATTAAAAGACTATTTTAATTTTTATGTTGTAATTAGAGTTACAAGGTTCTCATGTGACAACAACATGTCTCTTTAGCTGCTGCTCTGCTGGGCGCTAATATATATATGTATATACATATACATATATATATATATATATACTTATATATATATGTGTGTGTGTGTGTATGTGTGTGTGTGTGAAAACAATATATATCAATATATAATACATCTATAAAAAGACTCTAATCCAGAGTCTCTCTACACATTAGACACCACCACTTCCAGGTAATGCAAGTGCATATAAATTAAAATAGATTTTACACTGAACCAGTATTTCTTATTTACAAGCTTAAAGTATAGAATAAATACACACTGTTATAAACAGCAAAAAGGACCAACTTGAGCTCCTAGCGACAAACATTAGCGACAAAGGTGTGGAGTGATAGGGGTAAGGCCTGGTGACAAAGTCAGCACATCCAAACACACACAGACAGACTCACACACAACATACAAAACCATCCGTACATACAAACTGCACACAAACGATTGCCACTTAAGCATGCTGGAGTGAAACTAGATGAAGTACCTTTTGAGTCAGTAAACCAACATGAACATGGAGAGACACGATTACAACTGTGACTGGAACATCCAAAAAATTCAGTCATGGAAGCAACAAGAGTAGAATTGTGAGGTCTGCAAACCATTTTCAACCTATCTTCCCTTAATGCATCAGTGAGGAATCAAACAGAGCTGTTTGGTTTGGTTTGAAAAAGTAGAGCATCTAATTTTTTCTTTCTGCTACGCTGATTCCAGCTGTACAACCTGTGTCAAATCCTAATAACTCCACCGTCCCGGAAACCTGAAACAGTGGAGACAGAAATAATTAAAGTGACGTCAATGAGCAGAAGCAGCACTCGAGGGATTTGTATCACGAGGAAGAAATAGCCCGCCTGATTGTTTTTTGGGGTCGTGTCAATGGAGCCCCGGGGGGTTTGTATATCATGGTGTTGATTAGAGTGTGAGAGTGGCTTTCAGACAGGCGACTGTAAGAGCACCTGTCATCATCGGATCTGGGCGGGAATGCAGAGGGGTCTGGGGTCAGGACCCATTCCAACTAACAGGTTTGTATTTTAGTCGTGCTTACATTCACACCAACACAACAAAAACGAAAAGCTAAAATCGTATCAATAAAATATCCCAATGACGAGAATTTATTATTGTATGATTGCAAGTATATGTTTTTATATCCAGACTGAGCGAGTATGTTGCATCAAAATAGATTAGGTGTGAGAATACTGGAAGTACAAATGGTTTGCAGACAGGTACAAAGAAAAAAGGAAAGACATGTGAAGCATGAAAATAGATTCACTGACTGACTGTAACATGAACCATGAGTGTATGTAAGCAGTTGCAAACAACACGTTGTGCTCAGTTTTGAAAAACAAAAGTGATAGAAATGTGCGTTGAATGTGGGTGTTGATGTTTTCCTATTTAGATGAGTTTGTCCGAGAGTTGTTTGTCGACGTTTGTTTGGATTTCTCTATTGCCCAATACATGGAAGACTGTTCTCTTTTTTAACATACAAAAAAGATTTTGCTCTTTCAGATAAGAAAAAAAATATTTCACAGACATACTAGAGTGTTCAATAAATAAAAAACTATTATAAAGACAATAGTAAAAAAGGCACACAAAAGTCCTTTGACAAATGGTACAGGAAAAAAGTAAACACTTTCTCTTGCTATACAAACGTGTCTCCATCTGTAGATCTTGACTCTATGCTACTTCTAGATCATATCTGTAAAAAAGTCTTAAGGTACAAAACTTCTCTCAGTAGTGTCATTGTCCATTTTCATAATGCCAGTCCAGAAAATTAAAGTAACCATTTCCCAAACTGGCCAGAATCCTTCAAGTTCCACACCCCAGTCTCGTCTTTCTGCCAGGACTAAATGTTCGCAGCAATTATTTCCTGAGAACTCTGAAGCCGCTTCACTGAAACTGTCCGTCCATGTCTGGCTTCAAACACCCAAGTGCAAGACGCCCGTGTGCGGGCCAAAACGAAGCCCTTGCCTCTGTGGGCTTGTTAAAAAGCACAGCTGCAAGAGGATTTCCCCTCTTTTCTTCCAAAAAACTTTCAAATCACCACGTGAGGATGATGATGGAAACACTATGTATCTGTGGGTGACGCCTCATGTGTCACAATTTCTATTGCTGGCGTGGGCTCGATCATTCGGCCCTCCTCGTGCTCCTGACTGTCCAAATAGTCCAGGGGAGGAGATCGAGAATCTCCCACACTATCCTCCTCCTCTTCTAAGTCTTCTTCCTCTTCACCTTCCTCCTCCTCCTCCCCTTCACCATCTTTCTCTATTCCATCCAAGTCCTCCTCCTCCAAGGTCAGCTCAAACTGAAACTTCTCCCCGCCCCCCTGCCCTCCGTTTCCTCCACTGTGTCCGTGCGAGCCCTGGTCGTAGAAGGGAGGGGAGGGACTCTGGGGGATCATGCTCTGGTACCAGTTTCTGTTGTCTTCCAGAGTGTCCAGAATGTCCTGGGCGTCCGGGTGGACCAGATCAGCCCAGGTCTCCCAAAGAGGGTGCACGATGTAGTCAATGAAACCCACCTGAAAGAGACAAACAGGAATAAGAGGTGAGGTTCTTTTGAAGCTTTTGCAAATTTGCACATCCATCATTGTTCGTGCATAATTCAGGTTGAGTGTGCTTTGTTGCCTACCTGGCTCTTCTCCACCGAGGCTGTATGTTTATCACACATGGGGCTGATCTCCATCCCCCTCTCCCTCTCTCTGTCTCCCTGGTGGAAGAACTCCTCCATTATCCGGTCAGTCCACTGACGATACAGCTCCAGGGACTTAGTGGGGTTACTCAGGTCAGCACAGTGCACCATGTTACGTAGCACCTGTAAATAAAGCAGATTTTTAATTTGGGAACAACATACATGCTCTAAATACCTTTTCAAAATATGGAAGCACATTTACATTCGGGTCTAAATCAGTTTAAACCAGATGCTCTAAAAACAATATCCTGAAAACCGCACAGCAAAATGGGGTGGGTGAAACTGTTCGATACAGAACAAGAGAATGTATATTCCTCCACAACAGACATTTAATGCTGATTCTGTAATGATGTGGTTTACACAACGGTTTAATAAAGAAGGGAGAGGGAGCACTTAAAAGGCAAAAGAAGATGGATGGAGCGAGAAAAATAGTGACGGCTGGAGCAGAGGTCAGCTCTGTAGGAGGCTGGCTAATGATCATTGACTGAGTAACCTCTGCCAACACTGGCTATTGATTAGAGGCTATTAATAGTTCACCCAAAATGAAAATTCACTCACAGGGGTGTGTGAAGTGTTTGAGTCCGCAAAACACTTTTGGACATTAAGGCTAAAAACATGGTGTAAATGAAGCTGTTTGAATGTGTGTGACTGTCGTTGTTACCTGTATCCTGTCGGTATAATTGTCCAGCAGTAGCACTCCAGAGCTCGTCACCTTCTTGGTCTCCACCATCGTCTTCAGATCAGCCAGGAGACTCATGTGTTTGGACATGTCTGTTGCCAAGACCTGGATAAAGAAGAAAACTTTTAGCATCAAGATAATTCAGACGGATGGAGACTAAAATCAACATGAAAGGAGAACGTGACTGGTGATGCGTTACCATGTCGATGACCATCTTGCGTAGAGACTGTCTCTGCTTCTTGGTGACGTTCTGGAAGATGTCACAGTTGTCCTCCTGCAGCAGCTTGAATCCCACAGCCAAGTGATGGTTCTCCAGCACAGACTCATCATTGTACATCAAAGCCAGCTCAGAGTCTGGAAAGAAGTAACAACATATTCCCATTTTAGCCTTTAAAAACATCAGCTGACACAAACTGGCTGACTTGGTTTCATGTAGAGTAATATTTGTACTTACTGGTATTGATTAGGAATTGGTTTGAAACTCCAGGATGGTCAACATCATGGATAGCTGCAGCGAAGATGGCTGCTAGGATCTCAAGATCTGTGAAGACCGCCTGTGAAAATGAGATGAAAGAAAGAAGGAAAGGAAGAGGGGGAAAAAGAACATTAATCTATTTCTTGAAACTGAAATGTATCATGTATCTGCCTTTACAGAAAACAGCAGATAGCTTAGGTCACATAAGGCCAAAGAAATGTTATTCTATAACTTTCCCCTCAACCAGACAGGGAGGAGAGTGGGAGATCACAATTCTGACTTTTAACGCTGGGGCATTCTGACCTCGACTATATCTCACCGGGTACTTTAACTTTAGGAGAGTTTAGAAAGAATGCATGCAGGGAAAAATCTCGATCGATGAGCGTATAGAAGGAAAGAGGGGAAGTTCTCTGAGTAAGCCAGAGGGGAAAAGATGATTCAATGGAAGGAGACCGAGCTCTTCAAAGCTCCACTCCAGGAAAATGGCACGTGTGGTGACGCAAGAGCTCATGCTAATCTAATTTTCCCCCATTTCTGTGGGTGGACACTGGTCAGAGCTGAGGAAACTTCTCATCGTAGATAATGAGAGATAATGCAAGAAGAACCTGATCCGATTTACTGCGACTTACATCCAGGGCTGGAGTCGACAGGAGGATGTGGGTGGATTGGGCCACGTCAGCAGCATGTAGGCTGTTGTGGTACGCCACATCTGAATGGTAGTGGTCTTCCAATGTCATCATGTAGGCCACGAACGTGTCCACCGGGATCTTGAAGGTTTTTAACAGATCTCGTTCCTGGAAAAACATCAAAATAACTTTAGGACTGACTAAGTGAAGACAACAAATTCACATTTCCCTCATGGTGTTAATTAATGCTGATAATAGCAGTCTGCTCCATACCTGGAAGATGGCGTACATGATGCAGGTCAGAGGTCGGTTGTTGGAGAACTCTGAAACGGTGAAGATGTTCAGGCCCCACTTGTTCAGATCCTCCAGCTCTTTGGACAGCAGCTCCTCCTTATCTGTTTTGACGCCGAAGCGAGAGATGCTGCTGCTGGAGAGCGAGGGCCCGTGGGAGACCTTCTTGACCCCGCTGATCTGTGTCATCAGCTGCTGCTTCTGCTGCTTCTTCTTCTCTCGTGTCTTGGACGTCGGCGACGGGATCTCCACCTCATTCTGTTTGTCTGAGGGGGAAAAATCAGGGGGTTTCTGTTATGAGAGAAGTGCGAATGTTGTTAAAATTCCCATTTGACCTCATGTATAATGAGTTTTCTAATGTGCTTCAGGATTAAAAAGTTGGCCAGATTTCCTCGGCTCCCCAAGGAAGCAGGTGCAATTTAAGAACACCTGCAGTAGGTGTGATGCTGCGCGATTCCTCAATTCACTCATTCATTCATCGTCTGTCCCTGCATTCATTTGTTCAGTTAGTTCTCCCTCCCTCTGCACTCTCTGTCTGAACTCCCACTGTTCAATCGTCTCTGTTCCTCCGCCTCCCTTGCTGCGCTCACCCCCCCTCCTCCATCTCACAGCGGGGGGCTCCAACTCATCTCCTGCTCTTTTCACTCTCATAGGTCAGTCCATTTACAGACGGAGAGCTGGGGGCCTCTGCGCGGTGAAGGCGGTCCCATAAAGTCAGTCATTCAATAAAGCCGCATCTTTTGAACCTTTATCAAATCACTTAGGATAGAGGGGCGAGACGTTTATGTCAGGTTTATTTTACTCTCTAAGTCTGTTCCACTGCACCTTGTCTGGCCACAAATCAGTTACAAAACTAAAATATGCAAGGCTTTTATGTAAAATTCCTGTGAGAAATTAAATATAAATAAATGCCAAATTTCTTATAATAACCAGCCATGCAGCCTCTTGTGTTTGCTGCAGTCACAGAAGAAGAGAGTGAAATCCTGCAGGGGCTGCCCATCGGTATGTATGTGAGCTGTGCTCTCATCTATCAAGCTTCGACTCATCTCTGGCCTATCAGCCTTCCCCCTGTGGAGGGTTATTCAATTACCAGCTGTAATTCAAATGATCACTCTCTCTCTCGCATGCACTCCCTCCCTCTCTCTCTCACTCTTTTCTATGCCTTTCTCTGTGTCTCTCGACCTCTTTTCTTGTGTCAGTCCTCCAGTGGTAATTGAGAATGGCCAATTAAGCACTCTCAGACATGTGCTGCGTGGGAAACAAGGGGAAGAGCAATATATTGCCCTCTAATTTATTACAAGCCATCATTATCACTACTGCTGTGTGCTGTACATGTGTGTGTGTACGGTGTGTATTTAAATGTGTGTGTGAGAAAGAACCGATTGTGTGACAGACAAGCTTCTTATCGTCCAATTTTCTACATAAGCAAGTACAGTAAATGCCATCGACTTTGTAGCACACTTATCATGACATCCTGATGCCTGTCAACATATTCCATCAGATTGAGTCTCAGTTTCAGGCGCGTTTCAAAAAAGAACTGAAGCAGAAAGAAGTAAATATCTGTCTGGTGCTCTCCTCTCTCTCCTATACTTCCTTCCCTGGTGCTCTGCTCCCACGTTTATTTCATCTGAGTCCTTTTCATCCACCTCCATATGCTCCAGTGAGAGACACGAAGATGCAGCAGGGAAGGTGGCTGTGAAACTCTGTATGTTTCCTGAACTAGGTGCATTCTGCTGTTTCCTTGATTAAAGAGAATTATGACAGAATTACGCTGTGAGGACAAACGTGGTGGGGGAGAGGCACACGTGAAAGGCCAGCATGCCGTGGACCAATAGCCTGCGATAAAAAGCCAAATAATCCAGCTGTTTTTTTTAAATTGCCCTGGATGCAAAACCCTGGGATCTTTGTTTATCTCGAGAATTATGCATATGCAAGGTAGGTTTTATGACATCTTTTTAAAACTAAAGCGGAAATAACTGCATTAACAATCTAATATCAATCTCAATGGATAGAAGGATTTAACAGCTGAGGCCAAACCACACTGTGCTGCTTCAGCCATTCCCCGCTTTCCTCATTAAAGTCTACCTTCTCTGTCTCTCCACCACCAGCAGGGTAATCCTGACTTCTCTATCCAGGCGATAGTCATCTCTGTCTGGGCCCTCAGGGCAGCGACAGAGGGTGGAGGGACAACAAGGTGTCCCTGCTGACAAAGATGAATTAAGACAGGGATGAGTCACCCAATCTGCCGGCGCATCTCACTGCCAGCAAAGGGGGTTCCTCCATACCTCTGTTTTCTCCCTTACTGCAGTCAGCTCCCTCCCTCCCACATTCTACTGCCTCTCCTCACCCCTCCTCTCTCACTCTGTATGATCTGGGGGTGAGGAATCCACCAACAACACAACAACAGATCAGGATGCCAATTGATCGGAAGCCCCGTGTCTATAAATATTCTCTACAGCTATGTGCATTGTGTCTGGCATCTTATTCTTTTAGTGTGACAATCTACAGTATCTTTACCTTATTGACCTGTGTATTATTCAGCTTTGTGCATCAATCCTCCAGCTATAGCCACGCTTCTGTGCAGATCTAACATTTACCAAAAGTCACATTTTGCACCAAAAAGCTGGAAAATAGGTTGATTTTCAAACAAGTGCAAGTTTTATATTTTCAGAATCACAAAATATTTCCAAACAGCAAAGGAAACATTTCTAAAGACAAAAAAAGGCCATAGATTCATCAGATCTCAAATGTACACCCTGTGCTGACAGCATCCAGCTCCAATCCACTTCCTCTGATTCTGGCTAACAAGCTCACACGTCAGTCAAACTGTACTTTTCACAGCAGCCAGTCACCATATTGATTTTTATTCCTCTGAATACTTTGAGAAATGTCATCTTTTTAATGGCCATTCTGAGTCCAATGCCGTAGACATCTAGACAAAGCTTAATGGCGCAGTGTTTTATGGTACGCCCCCACAGAAGAGCCTGCCAGAGCAACTTGCATGGCTCAACATCATATGAAAGACTGAACCTGCAGAATAACATTGCGGCAAAGCAGAGAAGTGAATATTAGTGTGAACCACTATTATATTTGTTTGTATTCTTTTTAAGTATTGTGGACACACAGGTGATGATTATACTCTGTACTGAAGGTGGATTTTGAAGTTGAAATTTGTGGATGGTGTTTTTGAGTTCACGAACAAGATCTTTTCGTTTACCTAGGAAGGTGTTGGAGATGAATTCGGACACCTGATTCCCAGACCGACTCATCTCAGATAGGTGCGTCAACTCCCGATTCAACATTCTCTTGAACTGTGAGAGAGGAGGGGGAGAGAGAGAGAGAGAGAAAACATGTTGTCATTTCAACAGAGGGAAAACCTGGGAGAAATTAATGGTACATGATTCCATGGAAAGTACAACAGTGCCCACTTTTATTCCACCAGATCGAGAATATTATTCAATTACAGCGTACAATCAGTCTTGTTTTCCCCTCCATTTTCCCTTTAATTAAGTGTGGATCATTATTTGTGCCACCAGTGGGGAGGCCATCACATTTTAATACCCCTCAATTCACCCCCTGCAACTATTTTATTACACTGAATCACATTTTTTTGGTTTTACTTGCATCAGCGTGCAAGAATCTCAATGATGTCAAGAGGAAACTCTGCACACTGCTCCCCTCATTGCTCTTGGTCGCTGCATTTTAGGTGATTTCCATGTGAATTTCCATATTATAAGTAGATGGGACGGATAATAGAGACATATGTATTTGACAGTACACAGAGATCCAGGCACTGCAGTGTAGCAGCTGTTTATGACAGGCTGATGCATGCATGCGCGTGCACACACCAGCACACATACAAACAGCCACACGGCTCTGCAGAGGGCTCAAAATGGAGCCTGAGCCACAGAACACCATTCTGTCAGACCCCCCACCCCCTCCCTCATCCTTCCCACCATGAAGGAAATATTTTTTGGTGCAATTAGGCAAACAGAGTATTTTGAAAAAGCTGCACAACAACAGATCATATAAGAATGGTACATTTCTGCAGAAATATCTTGTAATAGAACAGCAACACATCTCAGAGAGGTGCAATGAAACGAGTGCGGTATCCCAACGAGCTACGTAGATAAGCGCCACACACCTTAATGTAACCCCAAGACACCGACAGCAGGTAATTGGCTTCAGGCATTTTGGACCCGGTTTTCTCGTTCCCACACAAAGCCAGAACTGTAATCCAATGGGGGGAAAAAATAACAGAGGCAGATGAACAGGATTCTTTCCGATGCCAAAAAAATCCCCTCTTCTCTCCTCTTGCGTTTCTCTTCTCAGCAGCTAAGAGAGCAGCTCGATTACGGCTCACTCTCCCTCTCAGCAGCAGAAAAGGGCCAGCTCTGAGGCTCCATGCCTGGGGACGGAGGGACAGATGGACGCAGGGGGGAAGCGGGCGCTGTGGTCAGGCTCGGCGTGGAGGAGATCCAGCGGGCTCTTTGGATCGGCTAGAGCAGCAGCAGCTGAAGCCGTGAGCTGGGGACTCTCAGCACACTGATGAATAATGGAGAAGGAGCGAGGAAGGGAGGAGGGGGAAAAAAACCAGTGATGGAGATGGGAGGAGGAGGGAGTGAGGCAGCGATGCTCATCTGACTGGAGGGGGGGTTCCTCCACTGGATTTGTCTTGCTTCACTGCTCGCACTGATGTAGCGCTCACTCCCCCTCCTACCCTGCTTCTCTCTCTCTCTCTCTCCATGTTCCTCCCATTTTTCATTCCCTACCTCATCTATCTCTTTTTCCCCTGCTGTAATCTGCCAGCCATAGCAACACTATTCAGAACACATGATTTGACAGAAAGTGGGAAGAAGGGGGGAACCCTGATTACAGATTTCCATCAGTGAGTGAAGGGAGTGATTGATATTTGATACCCAGACATGGATTCCAGATGTAACGCTCTTTTTTCCAGCTGTGCAAGTGCTGTGGATAAATCCTCTTCAATTTCCAGCCCCTGTAATTACCTCTGAAAGTGTTTTTTTTCTTTTGTACCATTGTGAAGGAATGCCATTGAGCCGTACAGCAATTCCTCCCCTCCGCAGTGAGACAATGAGGCTTGAGGAAGGGGCCGGGGATGTTTTGAGGGACGAGAATTGCAGTGCCAGTATTTTTATCGCCATTATCGCTATTATCATCCAGCTCCTCTCCCACTCTCCAGTCTGATGTTGTCTCCTGACATCCCAGAGTGCAGCAGCCATTGTGGGCAACTCAAAAGCCTGTTCATTATACGCATCCCATAATAATATTAGATGCTGTCAGGGTGTCTGTGAAAGGCTATTTTTAAAGAGCTGAGAGACGAGCGGGGAATAAAAGAAGGGAGGGAGGGAAAGAGAGAGAGAGAGAGAAAGAGAAAAGGAGGGATGGGAGATAATTGCATCCTTCCCCAATTTAGGTGACACCAGTCCATGGTTTCTCGTACTGCCTGAGAGTGAGTGTGTGTGTGTGTGTGTGTGTGTGTGTGTGTGTGTGTGTGTGTGTGTGTGTGTGTGTGTGTATGTGTGTGTGTATACACCAATTACCAGAACACCCCAACGCCATAGCAACAGCATCAGTCAGCCAGTGTATGGCTGTATGGAGAGGAGGAGAGGAGAGGAGAGGAGAAGAGGAGAGGAGATAGGAGACGAGGCTTCCCCTTTTCCTTCCCAGGCAGACATGTGGTGCAGCTGCTGAGCTGTCACAAGGACGCCACACACATCGCCTTCGCTCATCCACCAATGCCGAGACAGAGAGTCGCTCCCTCCCTCCCTCCCCCTGCTCCTTCTCTCCCTCACTCTCCACCACTTACATGTCAATTTCTCTCCTGGCTGCCACTGCCTCAGTCATCAATCTCTCTGTCTGTCTGGCTCTCTGGCAGAATCAATGGGCTGTCCTTGGATCAGGTGTTGATACTGCTGCAGTGTACAAGGCTCGGGCCACCTGACTGGAATATACTGTTACATCAGTGCCACCGGCCAGTTTCTAGGAGAGCTTATGCTTTTTTGTCTCTGTCTGGTGAAACCGTCGAGATACAATGTCTCTGCTAATAAGAAAATATCCACTGCTCTTATCACTGCAGATCCTCAATCCACAGGGAGCTGTAAACAGAGGCTCCCCAACCATTCAAGCCCAATATACAGTTGGGTAAAGATGAGGGGACGATCAAAGCTTCCCTGAGAGAATCCCGGATTATCCTCCCACTGAGGGAAAGAACCAGAAGAAGGGAGGCGGGACGCAGGAGAGGATGGGAACAAATAAATAAATAAATGCAAAAACAGAGAGAGAGAGAGAGGAGGGGAAGGTCTTTATATAATAGCTCGCTGCATAATATATATAAAGAAACCAAAATAACAGCGGGGGATGTCTCTGTGCGATGTGTTGAACAGCTATATGCTTCCCCCAGAGGCTAAAAGAAATGCCTCAGTGCTCACCAACAGCAGCAGCCTACAGATTCCATTATCTGCATTCAAGCGGTTTATGGTGACATGGCACACGCATCGTTTATACACTCTGCGAAGCAGACCGGCACCATGACACAGGAGTAAGATCAGCCTATCAGCTCAGTGGGAACCTCTTTTTTACATATCCACATATTTTTATTCTATTATTCTAACATTTTACATCCCTCCATCCTCTTTCTTATTATCTATCTTCGTGTCACTACCTGCGACTCACCATTTCTACCCTGCCCTCTTTTATTGCTCTTTCCCATATCCTCCATCTCCCGCCCCACTTTCATTCATGCATATTCCCATTCTTTCTTTCGCTCCATATCTGCATCTCCTATATAGCGCCCCCCCGCCCCGCTTGCAGGGGTTGTGTTGATTCAGCAGAGAGCTGCTGTGACAGAGGCAGAGGATGTGAATGGAGCCTGTGGTATAGTTCATCGTGAGAGAGAGGGGGAGAAAGACATAACACTGAGCCTCCTCCAGTCAGACGTGATCCTATCGGACAGCCCACTGTGGAGGGCGGTCAGGCGGACAGGTAGGCAGACACGGAGTTTCCCTCCGACACGTGACTGATGTTTTGCACTCACAGTAACACGCCTCTGTAATCGGACCATGCAGCCGCAATGCATCAAGCTGTAATGCTGTTTTTCATGTTTGATCTAGAACTTTTTTTTTCATGCCACTGTTGGAAATACTTAAAATTGCCTAAAACATCAGATAAGGCCTGAATCAAAGCACCAGCTTCTTCACCTCAGAATGAAGTTGTGCTTTTGAGCCACAAGTGGGCGCACTATGCTCAGCGTGCTGTGTTCAGGGAACAGTGACCCTGTGACCCTGCAGTGACAGAACATACAGTGGCAACATGGGCTTTAACTATAAATCAACTTTCTGTGCCACATATGAAAACTTGCAAACAATAATTTCCAAATTTTGTAAACAATCAAAATTTACCCAGACAAGGTGTGGATGGAAAATGTCCCCAGTTAAATTAACACACTCTGAAGTAGTGACAACAAAGACTAGAAGCTTTGACTAAACTGAATCACTGTTTCCAAGAAATGCGTACATCATACACACAGTATAGGAAGCTGCTGGCTGACTTATGCACTCAAGTTTTCTTTTGCAGATGTTGCAAGGTGGTAACATCTGTGTTAAGACTTGTTGTGACATAAGTACAATAATCAGGGACTCTACCGACGTATGACCTGTGCATATGTAGGATAGAGCTATAGACGACTCAGAGCAGCCTCTCACTTCCTCTGACTCATGCACGCATGCTTAACTGTCTGGATGAGAAGGCATGTATATGTTTCTCTGAAGCAATCAAGTGTTGAATAAAGAACTGAAAGAGTAAGCGTTAGCAGTTTCTCAGCTGAGTGAATCATTCCCATCACACCCAGCATCGCTATAGATTCTGATGTGGTCTGCAACATCGTATTTTTCTGGATGAGAGCAGTTAACAGGCTGCACGGCCGCTGCTTCAAAAGCAAACCAAAAGTCAAATACCGCAGCTCTCAAACACAGCAAACGTTATTTAATTTCAACAGAAGGCATGTCCGTATGTAAGAAGTCACAGAATGATTTATGTGACTCTCCACTTCTCCATTTGAACGGACCAACCTTGGAGCAGCACCAAACCACATCACAGCTACAGAACCTCTCTCTTCCCCCTGCGTGACCCGAGTGTTTGGCCTCAGTCAGAATATGGGAAAAAAATAATGGCTCTCTCTAGGCATTTGTTCTTAAAAAGCTCACGTACCAGCTTCCTTGTGTGAATCCACAGTCACTTTACTTATTAACCCACCAACTTGTTTGTACACCAGACTCTTCTGGAGACCAGAGAAAGACAAACAAACATGCTCCTTTTTCTAAAATGACTTTTGCTTGCCTGTTTTTCGAACCTTTGCTAAGCCGTTCCACAAAGGACCAGCTAGTCATGCTTATTGATCGCTTATTAACTTTGGAGGAAATCAGTTTGTTCCGGGGAGAACCAAACAGAATCTGCTATGAAATGTCCGTAGAATCCCCATAACTTTGTCTAAGACTTTTAAAGGCATATTCACTTATACTCAAAACACAACATGGAGATGCAGAGACAAGTCTGCGAGCTGTGATCAGCACTGAGTTTAACTCAGATGTTGGAGAAAACAACCACACATCTGTGAATTGGTGTGTTAGCTGCAAAAAGATCTATTATCAGAATCGTATTCAAGGACGTAAAGGGTTTTCTCAAAAGTAGAATTCATGCAACAGTCTACTCTTGCTCAAAGTTTAAAAAAATATATGTATAAATTTATAGAATTAACATAAAAAAAACACAGAAACTAAATGTCACAAACTTGCAAAAGGCAGAAAACCACATGTTCAGAATGCGATTAAATGATAAACCTTAGATGACAGAGGACAAAGGGACAGGAAGCATCTGCTGAAAATTTCAAGTACAACACACAAGTCCCATCATGTTAAAGAACGACACAAAAAAGTCAAGCTCAAAAGCCAGCACCAGGAAAAGTCAGAAGTTGAGTAGAAACTATATAAAACTCACCTTCCTCCAGCCATTCAACTTCCCCAGTTTCCTCTCTTTCTTGTCAAAGCAGCAGGCTCCCATGTTTTCTGACTGTAGAGTTCAGAGCAGAGGGCTTCTGTTTTAAGTGTCTGTCTCAGTCTGACTGCAGCATGAGTAAAGGGACCAAGCCTCGGCTCTCTGATGCTGGGTAACGCCACAGCTCCAGTGACTCACTTTGAGCTGTGAGGTCTGACTAGGCTTTACCTCACACCCCATGTGAGTGTGTGTGTGTGTGTGGAGCAATGGCTGAGAGAAAGAGAGGGAGAGAGGCACATGCACTCCTTCATGGGGGTAGTCCCGCCTCTTTGCTCTCTCTTCACAGCCCAGAGGTTTGTCAATATCGTGGTGACCATTTTGGTGACTACAACGTTTCCTGTTACAATAAACACGATAGATTTCCTTGAATATCAGTCACAGAAAGTAGAAGGATAGTTTGTTAAGATAAAATCTGGTCAGGAGTTGGCTGGTAGTCGGAGCTGCTTTATTCTCATGTTTTATTTATGCATTACTGTATTGAAAGTCTGCATAAAGGCCCTCACTTGAACATAATGGATCAACGAATGGTCTTGTATGTGATATTTTAAGGTTTTAAATAAGGCTGAAACCAACATCTGATCAGCTGATTAGTTTTTGGATTAGTTTTGGCTATGATAATGTCAATTAAAGTGAATAATGCCAATTATGGTTTCTCAGAGCCCAAAGAAATGCTTTTAAATTACTTTAGAAATGCATTTTTAGTTGATTAGTCATGTAAATATAAGGAATCTGTAACTACTGAGAATTCAATAAGCGTTGAAGTAATTCTTTAAGCAAAAATATTAAATATACATTGGTTCCAGGTTGTCAGATTCAAGAATTTGTGCATTTTTTTGATCTGACATGATGGTAAATTTAATAATTTGGGTGCAAGAGAAAAGCAGCACTTTTCACATTTTAAAAGCTCATGTACCTACTGCTCATTTGGCCTTGACCCGTGTCTATCAGCTACACATAACACAGAGGACAGTCATGTACTGTAAGTCCTCAGCAGCGGCAGCCCCCTGCACTTCACCTCGGTGAACTATACCACAGCGGCAGCTCCTCACGTTTCACCTCCCGTGTACTCAAGTTTCACACGCTGCTCCTGCTTGAATAACAGATTTTCCATCCTAAATACAACAGGTAGTCGGGGGGTCACTTTAGCTGATTGGCACGCTCTCGTGAATAGAGCCGGGCCGAGAGTCGTGGCCCACATGACAAAGGGGCAGCGGTTGTGTAATGTTATAGTTTACTGTCAAAACAGGGTGAGGAAATAGACAGCTGAGATGTCAGTGGGATTAACCTGCACAGCCTCGTACACAAACAAACGCACACGAGACAGACATGTCTGATTCCTCATCGCTGTCTTATCCACTGATGGTTACGTGTCCGGACGCACTCATCCACACGCCAATGTCACATCAGCGAGAGAGGGTCACACAATACACACACACTGTGCCACCTGATACACCTTACTGTGCATCAGTCACATCCAGTTCTGTTGTTCTGTTCTCAATGAAAATCAATTATTTACATTTATTAATTAGCTTTTTGAAACATCTGACCAAGAGTAAAACATCAATCTCCCATAATAATGTGTCACACTGAATTTTATGTGAGATAAAACATTAGAAAGGTGCAATTAAGTTCTGACTATCGAGCTTAACATGCCAATTTTTTGATCAACGTCGATCTGCTGAAGTGAAATTAAAAGTCTAACACAGTATTTTCTGGAAATAACATTATTGAGATATTTGAGATATTTCTCAAAGCTCACGGCTCCTGAAAATGAATCATCATCTGCAGATAAAGTTTCGCTCCATCTTGCCAGTTTTCTCTGGGATTGTGAAAATACAAAAATTACAGTTTCCAGTTAGATACCAGCAAGCTCACAAATGAGGGTGGATAAATAGGCGGCACACATCATCTGTGTGAAGCAGAGTGAACACGCACGTGCACCCTGTAGGAGCTTGAAATAACCAAACCAGGTGTGGTGGTCAAGATCACAATCGCTTTCCTCTGCATCATGATAGCACCGCATCGACAATGCACCTGACCACACCACAACAGCCAACACACCCATGGACACTCAAATGAGCTCAAGTGCATTTTATATTTAAGGAACATGGGCACTGGACCAGAAAATGACAATGATCTGAAACTGGCAGTGACACTCTTTGCGTCAGGTGTAAGATAGAGCCGATAGTCTCGCTCTGCTTGGACACACTCACATTCTCCTCCCTCTATTTACTCTCTGTCTCTCCTGTTCTTTTGTCCTATAAGGTGTTCTGTCATTGTCCATCTGTTTTTTTTTTTTTTAAATGTTTAACAGTTTTTATTCTGCGTGTCAGTTGTTTTGATTTGTCTCAACGGAAACCAGTCCAGCTGGGAGTCAGTGCTGGGTGTGTGTCCACATGACGCCAGCAGCGGGATGAATTAACACGACCGTTAACCAGTGATGGGACGTCTATTGTCGTCTGGAGAGAGAGAGCGGGGGATCAGGAAGGAGACAGGAAGAGAGAGTCACTCAGCTCACACACACACACACACACACACACACACACACACACACACACACACACACACGTTTGTACTTCTATCTTAGTGAGAACATTCATTGGCATAATGCATTCCCAAGCCCCTAACCATAACCCAACCTAAACCTAATTCTAACCCTAAAACCATATCTTAACCCCCAAACAGTCCATTAAGGGGGCGGGGGGTCACAAAGTGGGGACCGGCCAACATGTCCTCACTTTGACAAAAATGTCCTCACTCGGTTAAAAGCCAAAACTGGTCCTCACAAAGATAGCTGTACAAACACACACACACGTCCTCTCTCTTCCTCTGTACTTTATTGTGTTTGACCCTCTGCAGGACCACTTGCATCCTGTTGTCCAGTTTTATGAGAAAAAAAGCTTTTCCTCTCTGCTCACTCAACAAACTGTTTTCAGTCTCTCACACACAGCTGCCACTCTGCACCCTGCAGCAGCATGACGCGGTTTTTACTGTCTCAAGTAAAACATAGGAACACTTTGCTACTGAACATTTTGAGTCAACAAAGAAGCTGAAATCAGGAGGATGAATGGCAAAGCATCCGTCTTCCGTGTAATAAAAGAGCAGCATATACGTGCCACCACAAAATTTAGAAAGGCACTCGGTGGAGCGTGTGTCTCAACCAAGGCCCGACAGTTTCCTTAAATTAAATCAAGCTACACCAAATTGCACAAACGCAGTTATCACATCCCTTATTGTGAGGTTTTCATCAAAAAACATTTTTTACTCTACTATGGATTTTAAACTGAATATGAATTTGTAAAGTGAAGATTAAAATGAGTTATATTTTTGTGATTTCCTCCCTATGTTAGGTTTAAAGGTTGAGTTGGGTCAGCAGGCCTCATGTGCACAATGTGGACACAACCACAGACGTTGTTTTTGGCTCATGCACATGAATGGATGGTCTCCAGTTCCTACACTTCACTTGCACCTGTATTAAACAAACTGGAGATTGGACTCAAAGATGTCGACCAGTCACTTGGATGAAACATACTCACAAACTTAAACGTTCTCTCGGTTCTCTCTTGGTTGGAAAGTACCAAGAGTCTTAGATTCATGTACAGATAGGTTGTCGCAGTGCAAAGACAAAGAGAAGCTGAATATTACTCAGCTTCTGTCGATAAGTAATACAGTTGCTACTTGTGTCCAGAACCAGGATATGAACCTTGGTGCGTATCACACACAATGACGCAGTACAGTAGAAGGAGAAAAACCACTGGAGGATGAAAAGTTGAAAGATGAAAAAAGTCCAGAGAAGGCCAAGAGAGAAAAACACACATTTCCTTTTGTCAGAAACATTAATGCTTCAAGTAAAGTTTTGTGTTTGAGGAGAAATGAGCCGACGTGCAGGCAGACTTGATCGTCAGTGGGCGCTCATGCACACTCTGCTTACTGCTGCAGGCCACAACCCTAACTCCTCCCTCTTACTATACATGTTTAGACTATTAATACCGTTGACTTTGTTTGGGTCATGTCATGCTCAGCCGCAGTATCTCTGGATTCTGTACATTCACGTGTTGATATGGGGAATCAATTCTCCAAGCAGCTGCTCACATTCTCCTTCACAGAGCAGAACCTTCAGAACAGCTGCAAAGAAACTCCAGTTCCTTGACAAAAGTTTCTCTCACTGAAGTAAAGTGAAGGCGACATTGTGCTTTTTTCCACACAAACAGTCAAAGATGCAGCCTGTCCTACCTTGTTAGAGGCCATGTCGCTGACGGAGCGGTAGGTCTGGATGGTCTCCAGCTGGTCCAGACACCAGTCCAACTCCTCCATCGTCTCCATGGCAAGCTTCTGGTACGCCTCATCTGTCAACAAGCAGCCAGCACACAGAGACACACAGTCAGAACAGACGGTGCACATGGAGCTCGAGCGCTGCCCTGCCACTCCCAGGCGACATCCACCCACGGGTCCCTCTCGTGGAGCCCGCTGTGGCTGCTGCTGCAGAGGAGGGGGAGAGGCTCGAGGTGGCACCCGGCTGCAGCACTCCCTCGTCATGAGGAGATGTAGCTGAGGGCGAGCTGGAGGGAGTCGCAGCTGTCAGTGGAGCAGAGGGAAGCTGGGCCCTAAGCTCACACACTTTTCTCTTAGTGTATGCATGTGTGTGAGTTTGTGTGTGTGAGACCCCCTCCACCCGATCTGACGCCCTTTGCTCATTAACTTAAAATCAACCCCCAAGATCAGGAAACCCATACATTTTACCCCACCTCAGCAAACAGACAACTTTAAATCCACACACACGTTTTGTACAATCACTTGGTTTCTCTGACACACACATACATGGGCAGATAACACAGTTTTCTAACAGATTAATCAAAAAGTTTGAGCTTTTTAGCCTCTTAAATATGTTATATAGATCCCTTTAAATCCTACACTTGTACACAAATGTGGCCAAACATTATTGAATAAAATAAAGGGAGTGTGGGACATTGTGCTAATAAAGCAGCATATTTAAGATTTAAAAAAATTAAAAAACATGCAAGCGATTCATAGTTTTAGTCTAAGCCATTTGTGCTTCAATAATCATGTCTTTGATTTTGTCAGGAACTTTTACCTTAAAAATAAAATAATTGTTTAAACTGCAGAGAACAATAATTTTGTCCATGAAAAAAAGAAAAACAGCTGAGAGGGGAGTGTGGTGAAACCGCTACTGAACTTTTACTTGCAAGAACTCGGTTTTCAACCCTGCTCCTGTGGTTAAACTGTGTTTTTCAAACAACTGTAATTGTGCGTCAAGGTTGGAGTGACTCCGTGTCGGAAAGCAGAGGGGGTGTGTGATGAGGTGGCTGGTGAGGTTGGACTTACACACACACGCATATATACATACACAACGTCTGCTGCCCTTAGTATCGTGTGTACTCCGGGTCTCCTAGCTGCAGAGCACAACATGGCAGCAGGGTGTGCACTGCGGCGACCTTAGCGTGGCCACGTAGAATGTGTCCCCCGCTCTGATCTCCACGCCATCAAAGACGCGGGCCTGTTTGCTCTCTCAAACATGAGAGGCACCTGGCGCTCTGCCCACGGCCGGCCATCGCTCTGATGAGGGCAGTGAGAGAAAGAGAGTGTGTGTGTGTGTGTGTGTGTTCAGTTCAACTCCAGCAGTGTCTGATGTTGAAACGGCTTGCACTCGTTTGAGATTTTTCTTTCCAGTATTCCCAACACATTTGAGGTGGTTTGTGTTTTTAGTGGAGCACAGAAAAGCCCTTGTCCCTTTAACAGTTCTCTCATTTGAACTTTTAAACTCTTCTGACTTCTGAGTTTCAAACTGTTGATATACGTTATATTGCAATGCTCTTTGGTGTCTGTGTAGCTTATACACTATACGATTATAACAGGGATTATAACAACACTAATTGTCTGTAAATTGTAGTTTTGTGGCTAGTGTTGTTTTAGTAATATTATGTCGATGTAAGAAACGACCAAATGCCCAAGTATTATCTTAGAATCATGTTTGGGGGCGTCCATGGTTCCATGAGTTAAAAAATATCACATTTTGGATGAAGATCAACATTATACAGGACTTCATACGCCCTAAAAAATAAGAGAGAGAGTATTTTTAATGAGAAATATCCAATCCCTAAGGTCAGGATTCTGCACTGCTGAAGATTAAGCTTCGAAGAGCCGGATAATACACTGAGCAGTTTAAATCAGTTCACATTTGGACTTTTGGGTAATGTTCGATGACTGTAGCTACATTAGCTCAGTGTTTCCGTTTACAGCTGCAACAGGTAGAAGAGTTTTTGACCTCTAGCAGTTTTTTTGATGAGTGGGCCCACGTTTTGTTAGTTTAAAAAATGCTGATTCATCGCTCTGAGTTCACTGAAGGGAATCAAAACACTGTTAGTCTCACACAGGGCCCACATGCACACAGGGTATGAGACATACTCCTGCCAATCGTTAAACATTATTCCAGTGATCTGCGGGACCTTGTTAAGCGCCATGAAGAAGACAGTAAACATGCAGGATTCAAAAGACTCTGATTTGCACATCTGTCTGGATCTTTGCCAAAACAACAGTAACTGCCTGTAATGTATTTAGAACTATTCACCATATGTGACCAAATGGACAGAAAAAGACGACTTCTCAGAAATTTGTACACAAATGAAGTGGGTTACAGATGAGGATAGTGGGGCGCAGATGTGATCCACACATGCATGTATTTATTTGTGCATGTGTGTGGCAGAGAAGCTGCATCGGGGGAGAAGTGAACTGCCAGATTGATGGTTTGAGCCCGTAACCGCTTTCATGACTTTGATTTTTGAAAACACACAGAAATGGGTACAGAGCTTTAAAATCTGGTTTAGTGACTCTGGCCCTAAAACTGGTCACAGGGCCAACTCCTTGTGGGTCCCCACATACTAAATCTGAGCTCTAGGTAGGTGCCAGAGGCACTTAACTATAACGCTTGTATAAGAGTTTTACTCTGATCCCTGCCCTGCTGGGAGGCAGAGCCAATACCACCAGTGTTTACTCCAGTGCTGGACCCAGTTTACCACCAGACTAATAAAAGACAAAGATTTATGCGATTACCATTGAAACATTGGACATCAACTCAGTTATTTCTCAATTTCTATTATAATATTTTCAGAAACCATTAAACTTAATTCTAAATACTTGAGAGGAAACAGGGGATTCAAATGAGGAAAAAGTAAATGCCAGGATTCTTCGGCAGCTTTTTGGGTTTGATGTTTTTTCCAAAAAAGGCAGAATATAAGATTATTTATTATTTTTACTTTCAGCTTGATATTCCAGAGGAGAATGGCTTTTATACTTTGCTGCGTATACAATCACGCTCATCAGTTTCCAGCTTATATAAAACAGACGAGTATTTAGAAACTGTAATGACAGATGCATGCTTTACTCTTGTTTTAAAAGAAGACGTGTTGTGCTGCATACCAGCAGCTACTTCAGCTACAGCAGACTGTGCATTGTCATAGCTTCAAATTGACGAAGAGAAGCAGCATTCATAAGTCAAATGTCTTTTAAATCTAAAACACACACACACACACACACACACACACACAAACCCCTATTCCACAAGAGGGGATTTCCACCACCTCCACCCTGGCCTTTCTGAAGAGCACTCAGACCAACTGGAATCTTAGATTCACATGTTCAATACACACACTCGCTCGCACACACTCGCTTGCACTCACACACACGCATACACACACGTATATATTGTACATATACAGTACATCAACTGTAATTTGTCATTACTGAAACACACACTCACACACAAACGTACTCTCCGGTCGAGGGAGTCTCACTCTCCCTGCAGAGGCAGTGTTCAGTTCAGTAGCTTCGCTGGTATAGAGACATCTAATATTTCCTACACCGACCAAGTTAACACGACCATTATTTACAGCAAAACTTCTCATGGATCTATCAGAACTAACTCGAGCAAACTTCTTACTTGAAAACCTTCAATAATGTCAATGAATTTCCCTTTTTCTTTTTTTAAATGTACAATATTTAAAGTCATCCACTCTCAATCACAACAATAACAACAGACGGTTTTATTTCGGGGAGATTTGTAAATATTTATGTGCTTGAGGCATCTGTCTTGTATTTTTGGTTCCTGTTATCTTGTATTTGAGTTTGTTTTGAACTGAAGGAAACCGTATATTCATCCTCTTGTCTCAAAAACCTGCCAGATTATTGACACAGGTCTTAATTACAGTCTCCTCTCTTCATTTCAGCTGTTGCTTACACATCCAAAGGCTTATACCTATACAGACCATGGCATACGGTGCCATCAGGTTGTTTAAGGACAAGTGAGTCAGTAGAACCAGAGGAGTTGAACCTGTGTGTATTTGAATATGTGTGTGTGTGTGTGCGTGTGTGTGTGTGCATGACTGAGTCGAACAGCAGCATCCTCTCGTGGGGATAGAGTCAGTTTCCTGCCAGGGGAGCTTCAGCAGCAGCAGAAATCTATACGGTGAAATCATCAGCGTAGATGACGACTGCAGGCACTGACACATGCACAAAATCACACACTCATAAACATGCAGGACACGAGGTCGGCAGCGGACAGTAACCAGTTTTCCTCTCATGCTAGTTTCTGCTCTCCCTTTATTGACCAAGTATTCATCATGTAAACATTCAGCTTTTGATGGGTGACGTCCTGCATTTCCAGTGAACCACCACCAACAGACCACACACACATAAAGTGAAACCACACTTTGACGTGGGTCAGAGAGTGAGAGAGGAAGGGGGGGGGGGGGGGGCATTTTTCAATGGCATCTCTTGCTTTACAAGAAACAGAGATGAGTTGATCAGAAACCCTCCGTGTGGTTACACAACACTTCCTAACAGGGACCAGAGACTCTGGTGAGGCCGCTCTACTGCCGCCGCTCGTCCACTTCTTACGAGCTGAATTATGACTTCACATGCACAACATTGCAAAATCAATCACTGACGAGTATTTCGAATAGAGGGGAAGAAAGGTGGTGGGGGAGTTTGTGGTTTTGCGATCATGTTATGTGGCGCTGCAGCCTTGGTTGATTGAAATGTTTGTGGGAGCCAGGCTCTGAGAAGTGACAAAGTTACATCATGGGTCTGTTTTTCATTAAGAGTTTATTTATCAGAATTATGTGGAGGCGGCATAAAGAAATGATGTCTCAATAGATGGTATCAGTATTTTGTGAGCCTGCAGTTGTAAAGTAAAGGGAAGAAATAATGAGTGGACATTCTGTTGCAATGGATGATTAACATATGGTTTCACCACCTACACATTCACAGCTGAGCTACAAACGCATCAATTTATCATTCTGGGTCGCAGTGTCGGGAAATCCCACTGGGGACA